TTCTTCATCTTCTTCTTCGATCTTTTTCTTCTCTTAATCTTTATTTTTCATTTTTTATCTAGAATTTGTTCTTGCTTTTGGGATTAAGCTTGTAATTCATATTCAACCCGTGGATTTGAGATTATTGGTAATTCTCTTTTCTCTTCTGTTTAGCTCATAAATAATGGTTGAACTTGGAGAATTGATTATGATTGTTGAATTTGATTTACGTGGCTAAATCTTATTGCTTGGGATAGGGGATGATTATTCTTGTTTAATTCGTATCTCTCGGGCTTGAATTGTTCGTTCTTGTGTGAGTTGAATTGATTAGGAATTGATGAATTTGTGCTTGATTGATTGATATAATCGAAAAGTGACATTTCGATCTTGCTATTGGTGACAGTTAGATGTTAATTTGGTGAGTTAGGGTTTGTCAATTCTATATGATTAGTTGATTAAACACCTTCTAATTGACTTAGCGGCTTTCATAACCGAAAGGGGAGAAGTCGTAGAAATAGGCTCACATGAGGTAGATGATTTCGTAATTGAATAGTCTATGTGTTTTAGATTGAAATACGAGCTTGTCCATGACCGTCCCTTGTTACGAAAAGTTATTGGGATTGGGATAATTGGCCTGTGTTGTATGCTCGAGTTTATTCGTCTATGTTCAGTCCCTTGTTACGAAGAGTTATTGGGAGCGAACCGCTATATATTTAAGCGAGAGCGTCAATCTAGAATAGAATAATTCACGTCGCGTTGTGCGAATAGAACTTGAATTAATTGTCCCCGATTCCCTAGCTTCTCCATCTTTATTTCGTTTATATTTTTAGGTAGATTATTGCTTTTTATTATTTCATAGTTGATAATTATTCAATCTCCTTATCTGATTAGTATGTTTAAGATTTATTTTCTTTTCATGTGTTATGAATGTCAAAGCTAAATTCCGAACCGCCTTCCTCGTGAGATCGACCCGGGGAACGAATCTTTCGATTAGTTACTCGGTAAAAATAATAATTTGTGCAGAACATCTGTCTCGCTTTTGGTGGTAGTTCTGTTCATCTTTGCGTCTGCAACCCTTTGTCCCGGCCATTGTAGCACGCGTGTCGCAATTTTGTATTTACGTAAATATCCTATATAATTTGATAACCAATATTAAAACACTAATGTCAACATTGTTGTTTAAATTGAAAATAATACCTTTTATACTTATTTAGTTGTTAAAATTTCAAGCTGAATTCGAGTCATGTCGAGCATCGAGCTCGAGCATTAGCATTCTTATTTATTTCACGAGACGAGCTCGAGCAGTGAGGAAAAAAATCCGATAAGTCCATACTCGACTTGATTCGTTTGCAGGCCAATCTCGGACATAACTATTTTAAAAACCTCAATAACAACACACTTTTTTTGAATTCTCATTGCATAATGAATATGTTAGTTAATTGAAGAAGAGTAGATAAAGATAAATTGGGTAAAACAATGGGAAACTAGAAACCCTTGAGCGCAGAACAATTATTTCAGGAGGAACGTGTAAACTAATTTGTAACCAATTCCAACACCTCTATTTTCACCTAACTAGTACGAGCTATACACGAGTAAGAGATATTTGTTAATATTTATAAATTAAAAATTCTCATTAAATAATATTAATAAATCAAAATATGAAATCAATATGTAATACAACTTATCCATAAATTTATTAAAAAATTTATATGAAATTTAAATTTTGAAATTATATTAAACATGTCAATTTAAAATCAGTACACAACCTGTACAGTGACGTAACTAATAATAAATTACATTATATTTGTTTCAAAATAAGTGTCATTTAGAACAAGAAATGAATAAATAACAGAAAAGGATACCTAAAAAAAAGAAGCTAAAAACATAGAAAATGGGACAATGTTTTTCAACCCGCACCGATCCGGCGGGTCAACTCGGAGCCGAAACCGATCCAGGTGGACTATTTGGACCGGGCAACAAAGGACCCGATCAAAACCCGACCAACCCGGTCTTCACTCGGTCGACCCCGGGCATTGACCGGATCCCAGTTGACCCTGTCCCAATATATATATATATATAGATTTTTTTTTTAATTTAATTTTTTATTTTTAAAAAATAAAACTATGTATATTTAGCAAGGAAATAAATAGCTCGATAAAGTTGTCGCTATTTGAGAAATAACCTTTTTTTGGCAGCGTGTCGCTATTTGTATTCATGTGCAATTTAGCCGCTAAATCCCGCTAAATCTCCGCTATAGCTCCGCTATAGCTACAGTGCCATAAACATTTTAACCTGCTATTTAAAACCTTGATATTTAGATGATAAATATTTATTAGGAAATACATATTATTACCATTTTAATCTATAATTTTTACATATCAAAAATTTAATTTTGCTACTTTTATGTATATTTATATGACAAAATACTTTATATATAATTTTAAAAATTTCTAAATTAATTATACAGTTCAGAAATTGACCCGGGACCGGACAGGGTTTAAAAACTTTGAAACGGGACACAAAAACTCCATATTTGCCATCGAAACCCTAATTGTGCTTTCTCCACTCTCCAGAGTACAGCCGCTACGCTACAACAGCACGAGTTGCAGGTTAGCAGCTTCCTTACTCCTTTGTAAATGTAATCTTTGCTAATGTTTTCTGTAAATTCTGAACTTTTTCTTTTAATAAACTGTGATTATTAATTCCATATTTGAATTTGATTTTTTTTTTTCTTTTTAAGAAACATGAGAAAGATGAGCACCATTTATATAATCTTGGAATCACGTTAAGGTTTAGAGTTATGTTAGAACAATCGTATGCGTATCAAATCTGTTATGAATCTTTGAAACGGAAAATAGGAAGGTCACGAGTTAATCGATACATTTGATGATATGAACGTATTTCGGAAGAAAAAAAAAAAAATCACTTGGAGGTTTGTTTGAATTACATTTTATCGTGCTTGGAAGCTGTTGGCATTTGATGAAATTTGAAATAGCAACTTTTTACTGTGTCAACGATCGGCAATAATCGAGTTTGGCTACTCTTTGCTTGTTGTAAGTTGGGTAGAGTTTAATGGATACTTTTGACTAAAAAGTTTTGGTGGACTTTTTGTATCAATCAAATGGATAGTGGTTGATTTATACTTGAAGGGTTTATTTGTTTACCGTGTGGAAACTGCTAAACTTTGTTGTCTCAATCACTCTTTGGTCGTGAATTTCGGGGCACAGTTCATGGATTAATCTAGTGTACTAACAGGTTAAGATCGACTTATTGCAGATGCATTTGTGTTTTTCACATCCAAATCCTAAAAAATGGCTATAAAGTTTGTCCAAACGCCGTTTCGAAATAGTTATTCCTTTAGCATCTTTTTTTCTGTCCAAAGATCAAGTATTGTTTCAAAGAAATTCTATGTCATGTTCAACCCAAACCATAAATACCCGTATTTATGGTTTTTAATCTCATTATTTTCATTTGGTTACATCTAAATCGGGGCACACAAGCATTTTCTTTTATTTTTTTTCTATCTGTGGCCAATTTTCTGAAATGATTACCACGTACGGGATCAAGGCAGTCAATCAGACCTGAATTTTTTATGCTTAATAACTATTGATCAAATAAAATTCTCGATTAACCTGCAGTGAATATGGCCAAGCACCATCCAGATTTGATCATGTGCCGCAAGCAGCCGGGAATAGCCATAGGCAGGCTGTGTGAGAAAGATGACGGTAAATGTGTGGTGTGTGATTCGTACGTGCGGCCTTGCACGCTCGTGCGCGTGTGTGACGAGTGCAACTATGGCTCTTTCCAAGGGCGTTGTGTGATTTGTGGAGGGGTTGGTATTTCGGACGCGTATTATTGCAAGGAGTGCACTCAGATGGAGAAGGATAGAGATGGGTGCCCCAAGATTGTCAATTTGGGAAGTGCCAAAACCGATTTGTTCTATGAGAGGAAGAAGTATGGATTCAAGAAGAGGTGATTCGAGTCGTTGATTTTTCAAGTGTTCTCACTAAAGAAAAAGTAAAAAGTAAGAAGCTTTTGAATATCTGAAGTGTTGTGTATTATGTTATGAGCATTCTTGGTGTGTGTCTTGTTGAAAAATTTGATTTTGGGGGATGGATTGGCTTGTTTGGTATAATGTGAGTTTGTCGTGAAATGTTGGTTAAAAAACTTATTATGCAAGTTTTTTTTTAGTGTGACCAGGGAGAAGTACTCTTTGTATTTGGTTTTGTGGCACGTCTTGAATATTTTGTTGGCACCTAAAGTTGTTTTTTGTGGAGTATGGCTGTATGAGTTATGAACCTTGTTAAACGAACCCTTTAACGAGCTTTTTGTGGAGTATGGCTGTAACTGAGCCAAGCCGGTGAACTTTTTGTGTAGTATGGCTGTAAAGGAGCCAAACCCTTTTTTGCAAATTATTCGAGATAAAAGTTTGCTTGGACAGTTTGGTTTGCTTAATGATGTTTTGTGAAATAAAGTTTAGCAATCAGTTTGTTAGCTTGTGAATGGGCTCACAAACAGCATCGCGACGAGCTTGTTAGAAAGCTTATATGTTTTAATTAACATTTTACTTTTAAAATACGATATGTGAATCACAAGATGATATATCATTGACCATTTGATGAGTGTTTACGTATCTGTTTTTTTTAAAAAAAAAATGTAACATAAATATAACTTCATAGATGCACCCACACAAATGTGATACTTTGGAAAAACAGCGTGGAGAAATGCGTTGTTTTCTTTCGTTTTTAGACTTAAAACCCAACTTGCACAGGTTTTTAAAAATTGTTCACTTGTCATCTGAGGACATATGAACAGACAAATGAACAGACAAATGAACAGTTTGGTATATGTGAATATCATGTGAACAGTTTGGTATATGTGAATATCATGTGATATTTCAATCACGTAAGATTTTGTAATCTATAAATCACATATGATAAGGTATCTTGATATGTAGACTGGTTCACCATGACCGAAATCACACGAGGAAAAATTCACGACGATCCCCAAAAAAATAGCATCAAGTGGATCTCTAACATCAAAAGTTGTAACATTAATAGTTTTCCCAAAGTTTGATACCACACAAATACTTTATTATCCACATTTCATGCATATACTATGTTTCTTGACAACAAATTAACAACAGTTTCAGAAACCAAAAAAAAAAA